TATAAAGAATATCTCTTTGGAGACTTAAGGCCCCGTCCACACGGAGATGCGTTTAGCTGTATAGCATACATTTTGTATCGTATTGACGTTTCATCCAGACGGATCCGGTGTTTTGGGAGAGTGAAACCGATATTTTTTTAAACCGGGTCCCAGAGTGGATAAATCTGAAAACTCCGCCCTTGCGTTTTCGTGTGGACAGCGAATCCGTATTTTTTCTGAAACGATGACGTCATCAGCCCATGTCTCGCCCCTAGTCAGACACCGCTACGTCACATAACAGCAACAAACACATGAACAGACACTGAACGATTGTCTTTTTAATAACTAACATTAACACAGATTAATAAATGTCTTGTTCCATGTTCGTTTATATACCGCAGGCAAGGTTTATGCGCATAGTCCAAGTCTTCTCCGTTTTTAGTGTATCTCTGTGGCAGAATTACAACGCCACATGCTGGTCTGGCATGTATACTACATAGTTTTTTGTCGGTTTCGTGTGGACGCAGATATTTCTTGAGACGAGGAGAAAAAAAAGATCGGATAGGGAAAGCTCCGGCTTCGTGTGGACGTAGCCTTATTCATTTACATTGCTAGGGGCTGTATTTTTTTCAAATAGTCAGTGAAATACATTATATGGACTTTATAAGGACAATATTATCCTTTATATGGCCGGATACAGATATTGCCAAAAATGTTAGAGTATGTGTAGCCAAATCTAGTACTTTATGAGATGTTTTAGTGCCAACCTATGAACATGCTGCGACAAAAAAAAAAGTAAAAAAGTATCACAGAAATGAACAGCAACTGTTTTCAAATCAGCATATTAGAATGATTTCTGAAGGTTCATGTTACTGGCTGCTGTAAACAATGAGAATTCAACTAGGAGGTTATTGGTTGTAGCCAATATGTTGCATGAGGACAGAGGTGGTTCATGGAAAATTGTGGAAGAGAGATGGAGGTGTAAAACACAAAGCAGATGGCTCACTGCATTGTTGTGACTAAACGTCCCTGAGTAAAATCTAACCAGATCTCTCATTATGGTCTCATTATGGTGAAGCCCTCTCATGAAGAGGCTCATGATGAAGATTAACTCATTTTTTTCTCACACTTACACTTCTAGAGCTTAGCATGCACAGAAACAGTTCACTTACCACTTGGACTCTTTAAAAAATTGTTTTTAATATATATATATTTTTTGGCATTCTTTTTGTGTGTGTGCGTGCTGCAGGAATTCTAAAATACAGAAAAATATATATTTACAATAAATCAATCAATCAATGGATAGAAATACTGTGAATTCATAAAATAATAAAAAAGATTAAAATATTATTTTGTACAAAAGAATACATACAAAAATATATATGGAACATAATTGAAAGAAAAAATATTGATATAAATAAATATTTAAAAAAAAAAAGTGGAATAAAAATATAAAATAAAACAACTATCTCCCTCCTTCCTGGTGAAGAGTGATGTTTTTCCCTCCATGAAGGAACTTAAAAGAGGGGAACTGAGGCTGAGGGGGTATTTGAGGCCACTGATCTGAGAGACTCTCTATTTAGCCGCCCACTTCCTGTCCACCAGACAGATGGGCTATTGGAGCACAGCCTGTTTCCATGACAACTCTTTTGGATACAGCTAGCTGAAAGCCACAGGACACACAGACAGCCAAATAAAATACAAGGGCCCAAGTGGCTTTTATTGGAGCTTCAGATGTGTATCTGATACAAAAAGGAAACATGTCTGACTAATAGTTAAGAAGTAAAGGAAAACAATATCTGTGTGTATAAGAACACTTAAATATGCACATTAAATCCAAATCAGACATTAACAACAAACTACAAATATTCCCATTTGCATAAATAGATCATTTTGAATGATTCCATGTAAAAATTTAAAATCGTATAGAAAACTTTGTTAACAGTCCCATCCCAGTGTTAATAAATATATACAAAAGAAATGATACAAAGAGTGTATCAGTTACATTTAGAAAAATGAATCAAAAGCTGTACATTTAATCAGAAACAACATTTTTTTAGAAAGGGGAATGCATAATCAGAAGTGAAATATGAATTATAGTTTTAGCATGTGCACTGAGGTCAGCAGAATCAAAATAACATTCGTTTATGGGGCGTCATATAATGGTTACTGTGTAACCAAATAAACAAAATGTAACTATTTATTTGATTGTCTTCAAAGATACTTGCATGCACTTCCTGATATTGTAACTTTGGCAATCATGAATTACATTAGCACTGATTGCAAATTCAACAAAATCACAGTTCATACCAATACAAAATAATGTGCTTATAAATCTCTAGTGTTATTTAGTTAAAACAAAGAAAGTTTATACCGATTCTCTAAGGATCACATTTTGAAAATGCCTTCTGAAGGATTTATCAGATGCTCTGTTGTATGGACCTTATTTGTTCATATAAGGAATGACAGACTTTGGGGAAGTCTAAAGTTGAATTTAGATTGATGTTGACTTTTTTCTAGGGAATAAAAGTTACACACATACTGTACACACAGTGCTTATGACACTGCATCTCATAGAGTTGCTGAGCAAGAGATAATATACTGTACTCACTAAATACTGCTCAGGGCTATTAATCAGAGCGATTCTATTATTTCACTCTCAATTCACAAAGTACTTAAGGCTCATATACTGTATTAGGTCACCCCACAACTGTTCATTAGACTATGCTAAAAGATGACAGTGAGTTGCTGAGGGATCTGTTGTGTCCTAATAGATCAGGAAGCCTGGTGTAAACCAGTCTGTAGGATCTTCAAATCTCTGTCAGCGTGAGCTTAAACATTCCTCCCATTTCCTCAATCTGGATCTGGAAGGTGTCCTCGTTGGAGTAGTGCTTGACGATGTTGTCGTCCATGTTTACCAAGATCCTGAAAAGAACCAGAGATGGAGGGACACTGCGGTTTAGTTTTACCCCTGATCATTGATCAAATGGTTAAATTAGGTCTGTCAATTTAACATGGTAATTTAGTCAAATGATTTACAAAATACATTCATAAAAATACATTATAAAAATACGTTTTTAGTATTTTATGCAATTATTTTTACATTTTCGATCTTAGAATAAATGACTAAAATGAATTTTGTAATCGAGAATCACAGTTGCACCTTCTTTCTTTGCGTGAACATTTGGGCGGTGTTATGCAAATCTTCCCACACAGTGATGTAGACATGTGGGGGCGTGTTAGAACGAGTTACAAGCCCTTTTAGGTAGGCGTGGTTGACTCTTAACTTCTATAAAGAATATCTCTTTGGAGACTTAAGGCCCCGTCCACACGGAGATGCGTTTAGCTGTATAGCATACATTTTGTATCGTATTGACGTTTCATCCAGACGGATCCGGTGTTTTGGGAGAGTGAAACCGATATTTTTTTAAACCGGGTCCCAGAGTGGATAAATCTGAAAACTCCGCCCTTGCGTTTTCGTGTGGACAGCGAATCCGTATTTTTTCTGAAACGATGACGTCATCAGCCCATGTCTCGCCCCTAGTCAGACACCGCTACGTCACATAACAGCAACAAACACATGAACAGACACTGAACGATTGTCTTTTTAATAACTAACATTAACACAGATTAATAAATGTCTTGTTCCATGTTCGTTTATATACCGCAGGCAAGGTTTATGCGCATAGTCCAAGTCTTCTCCGTTTTTAGTGTATCTCTGTGGCAGAATTACAACGCCACATGCTGGTCTGGCATGTATACTACATAGTTTTTTGTCGGTTTCGTGTGGACGCAGATATTTCTTGAGACGAGGGGAAAAAAAAGATTGGATAGGAAAAGCTCTGGCTTCGTGTGGACCCCTTTAACATTTTAAGTGTGTCAAACTTCCTACGGGTCAAAGTAGCCTATAGTTCATCAAGTATTACAACAACAAATAAAACTATCTTTATGGATTTATTTAGCTCTGTCTGCACTAGAAAGCCTTGAGCTTATATAAATGCTATAAAAAAGCACTTATCCTTCTTAAATTTATTATTGAGTATGTGTAAGGATGAAGCCAAATCTAGTACTTTATGAGATGTTTTAGTGCCAACCTATGAACATGCTGCGACAAAAAAAAAAGTATCACGTTTCCACAGAAATGAACAGCAACTGTTTTCAAATCAGCATATTAGAATGATTTCTGAAGGTTCATGTTACTGGCTGCTGTAAACAATGAGAATTCAACTAGGAGGTTATTGGTTGTAGCCAATATGTTGCATGAGGACAGAGGTGGTTCATGGAAAATTGTGGAAGAGAGATGGAGGTGTAAAACACAAAGCAGATGGCTCACTGCATTGTTGTGACTAAACGTCCCTGAGTAAAATCTAACCAGATCTCTCATTATGGTCTCATTATGGTGAAGCCCTCTCATGAAGAGGCTCATGATGAAGATTAACTCATTTTTTTCTCACACTTACACTTCTAGAGCTTAGCATGCACAGAAACAGTTCACTTACCACTTGGACTCTTTAAAAAATTGTTTTTAATATATATATATTTTTTGGCATTCTTTTTGTGTGTGTGCGTGCTGCAGGAATTCTAAAATACAGAAAAATATATATTTACAATAAATCAATCAATCAATGGATAGAAATACTGTGAATTCATAAAATAATAAAAAAGATTAAAATATTATTTTGTACAAAAGAATACATACAAAAATATATATGGAACATAATTGAAAGAAAAAATATTGATATAAATAAATATTTAAAAAAAAAAAGTGGAATAAAAATATAAAATAAAACAACTATCTCCCTCCTTCCTGGTGAAGAGTGATGTTTTTCCCTCCATGAAGGAACTTAAAAGAGGGGAACTGAGGCTGAGGGGGTATTTGAGGCCACTGATCTGAGAGACTCTCTATTTAGCCGCCCACTTCCTGTCCACCAGACAGATGGGCTATTGGAGCACAGCCTGTTTCCATGACAACTCTTTTGGATACAGCTAGCTGAAAGCCACAGGACACACAGACAGCCAAATAAAATACAAGGGCCCAAGTGGCTTTTATTGGAGCTTCAGATGTGTATCTGATACAAAAAGGAAACATGTCTGACTAATAGTTAAGAAGTAAAGGAAAACAATATCTGTGTGTATAAGAACACTTAAATATGCACATTAAATCCAAATCAGACATTAACAACAAACTACAAATATTCCCATTTGCATAAATAGATCATTTTGAATGATTCCATGTAAAAATTTAAAATCGTATAGAAAACTTTGTTAACAGTCCCATCCCAGTGTTAATAAATATATACAAAAGAAATGATACAAAGAGTGTATCAGTTACATTTAGAAAAATGAATCAAAAGCTGTACATTTAATCAGAAACAACATTTTTTTAGAAAGGGGAATGCATAATCAGAAGTGAAATATGAATTATAGTTTTAGCATGTGCACTGAGGTCAGCAGAATCAAAATAACATTCGTTTATGGGGCGTCATATAATGGTTACTGTGTAACCAAATAAACAAAATGTAACTATTTATTTGATTGTCTTCAAAGATACTTGCATGCACTTCCTGATATTGTAACTTTGGCAATCATGAATTACATTAGCACTGATTGCAAATTCAACAAAATCACAGTTCATAGCAATACAAAATAATGTGCTTATAAATCTCTAGTGTTATTTAGTTAAAACAAAGAAAGTTTATACCGATTCTCTAAGGATCACATTTTGAAAATGCCTTCTGAAGGATTTATCAGATGCTCTGTTGTATGGACCTTATTTGTTCATATAAGGAATGACAGACTTTGGGGAAGTCTAAAGTTGAATTTAGATTGATGTTGACTTTTTTCTAGGGAATAAAAGTTACACACATACTGTACACACAGTGCTTATGACACTGCATCTCATAGAGTTGCTGAGCAAGAGATAATATACTGTACTCACTAAATACTGCTCAGGGCTATTAATCAGAGCGATTCTATTATTTCACTCTCAATTCACAAAGTACTTAAGGCTCATATACTGTATTAGGTCACCCCACAACTGTTCATTAGACTATGCTAAAAGATGACAGTGAGTTGCTGAGGGATCTGTTGTGTCCTAATAGATCAGGAAGCCTGGTGTAAACCAGTCTGTAGGATCTTCAAATCTCTGTCAGCGTGAGCTTAAACATTCCTCCCATTTCCTCAATCTGGATCTGGAAGGTGTCCTCGTTGGAGTAGTGCTTGACGATGTTGTCGTCCATGTTTACCAAGATCCTGAAAAGAACCAGAGATGGAGGGACACTGCGGTTTAGTTTTACCCCTGATCATTGATCAAATGGTTAAATTAGGTCTGTCAATTTAACATGGTAATTTAGTCAAATGATTTACAAAATACATTCATAAAAATACATTATAAAAATACGTTTTTAGTATTTTATGCAATTATTTTTACATTTTCGATCTTAGAATAAATGACTAAAATGAATTTTGTAATTTAATTCATTTGAATAAAAACGTGTAATTTTTTAGTTCTAGATTTATATTTTTAATTTATTAATTTATTTTTTATTTATATTTAATTTGTTTCATTAAACTCATCAGTTATAATCATTAAAAATAAAAATTAATAAATGAAAAATATAAATCTAGAAAAAATAAATTGAATTAATTCAATTAAAAATAATGAATTTAATGCAAACCACAGCCCCTAAATGTAATCAATTGACAGCCCTAGTTTAAAGTAATCTTACCCTTTCTTGCATTTCTTGCAGACCTTTCCCATCTTCTCAAGAGGAACATCATATTTCTCTGAAATCTGGTGGAGAGCAAATCCATTAGCAGGAAGTTAAGTCTATTAACATGCAGTTGTTAATTGCATAGTAGTAAGGACAGCAATTGATCATTTTAAGCAACTCAGCACAATAATAATGAAATGTGTATGTATTTCTTTGCAAGTACACTTAAATAATTAGACTTTTAGAATGGCTGAAAGAAACACTGTTACTCAATACAAGGTGGTTACAATAAAACAAATCCATCTTAAAAATCACAGACTGGTCCCTTCCTTTAAAAAGACAGTTCAAAGAAACAATTAAAAAATAAAAAATAAACTATCTTTATTCATCAAAGATATTTGATAACAGACATTTATCAAAGTGTCTTCTTTTGTGTTCCACAAATGGTGACAGAATTTTCATGTTTGAGTGAACTATCCATTTAAAGTAGTAATTCGGTGAGTAATGCAACACTATGTACTGATTAAATGGAACATTTGTAGGCCTAAGTAAGTTTTCAAGCCAACTAGTATCAAAGTTCATCTTATTTCGGGATACGAGTGGTTCAGTTTAATGATTTCCCAACCCCCCCTGATGTTATCCTAACATTCCCTCTTCCCATTCTCAAAGCTGGCTGGAGTGTTGCAATGCTTGGTTAGCGTTGTGTTACGCACACTACATTCTTATACCTGTCACAGGAACCTCTTTAGCCCTTGCCAGCTTTTGTGATTATTAGATGGATGTGTTTGTGAGCCAGCGTGATTCTCGTTGTGGCCTCCTGCAATGTTTTAATGCAGACGGCCTGTTGACAATCGATCTCCTGCTATGCAACTCAATGCCCCCATTAAATCACCCAGCTTCAGACTCTAATTTCAGGGACTTTTCTGCACTGGCCACATGTTAGTGCACTTCTCTGGCATCTGAATTTCTCTGGGAGGTGCTGTGCTGCATTAGACACGTAGCTGTGGGTTTGGATGGGATGTATAATTTTTGGGTGGGAGCTTTCTTGGAAGGAGTATTCGTGTGTGTTATTGTCTGTTTGTGTGGTGCAAGCGATGCTTTACTAAACAAAATTATACTGTTATAATGTTTAGAACATTAAATGAATGTTTTCCCCCATTCTTTCTGTGACTGTGTCCTTAAATAGCCCTGCACTACAGGCAGTGAACCTGTATTAGTTATATTAGATTTACATTTCCTAAAGAAATCTGAGTGGTTCTTGTCTGAACAAATTACGGTACCATGACGCTAATGTCATAGGTGGTCAGTTATGCAGTTATTGCAAAGGTACTCTTCTAGTGTTTTTAGTGCATTGCTATTAGTTTTATCATCAGGCAAGGAAAAATTCAAAGAATGATTGTTTCAAAAAGTGAAATCAATTCCAGGTCATATGGTGTTTTAAGTTAGCATGTTGCTAAGCTAACAGAACAACAGTCTAACAAGCATACATTTACAAAGCACAAACACATATTTTATTTTATTTATTATACATTTATTATAAATATTTTATTTATTAAATAAGTTAATTTTTTTATTACATTTTATTAAATAATATATATTTTTAATAAACGGGCAAAACTCTTTGACATGTATAATCTATATTGGATTTATTTTTTATAGAGCTCATCGCAATGCATTATGGAAATGTTTTATGGTGTTCAACTGATTTCAATAGAGTTTGATGTTGCACATGCAAATGTCTATTATTAAGCATAAAAATACAAATAACAAAAAATATTTTCATAATTAAACCTAAATTAGTATTATTATTAGTAGTATTATTACACGTATTATTTTAGCATCTTAATTTTATCATTATTATTGTTGTTAGATAAAAACATATTTTATGGATCATTTTATTGGATTTATTTTTTACACTGAGCCCATCACAATGCATAATGGGAATACTTTAGATGGTGCAATTAATTTCAACACAGTTTGATGTTAGCGTGTTGTTAATATAATACAATAATAAGCATAAAAACACAAAGCACACACAAATATTTTAGTAAATAATCCAGAATTATTATTTTGTATTATTTTAGCATCTTAATTTTAACATTATTATTATTGTTGTTGCTGCTAAATACAAATATTTTTTAATTACACTATTTTATTGAAAATTGTATAGGATTAATTTTTTTACACTGAGCTCTTCACAATGCATTATGGGTAGGGATGTAACGATTAACCGCGAGCCGGTTGAAAATCGATTTAAATATGCGACGATTCAAATCGGTTGAGATGCTCAACAAATCGCGATTCAATTAGGTGTAGGAGTTTATATGAATGTATGTCTGAGGAGAACTTACTGTCTTTCGATTGTATTTTTTCTTTTTATCTTGCCTCTGTATAATGCACATTAAAGTTCATAAGTGCAGCGCTGCTTTGTTTACAGCGGAAACCAGGAAAAGCTTTAAGCGCCACCTGCTGGCAGAGAGTGAATCTGCGTCTCATTCAGCTCGTCTGCTGTTTCTGTTTCATGCAGATATTTTTTCTGCATAGTTTCACAAAACTGAAGTCAGACCATTGTTTTTGCTTCAAATTTTGAAATTAAAAACTGCTCATGTTGCATGTATGCAGCATCTTTGTTTGGATCAAGATTAAAATGCAGTGGTTGCCTCTAATTTTACATGGAAAGTGCACAGACAAAGCCTTAGTTTGTTTATATGAAGATATATATATTTTTTGTAGTTTCACAAAACTGAAGTCAGACCATTGTTTTTGCTTCAAATTTTGAAATTAAAAACTGCTCATGTTGCATGTATGCAGCATCTTTGTTTGGATCAAGATTAAAATGCAGTGGTTGCCTCTAATTTTACATGGAAAGTGCACAGACAAAGCCTTAGTTTGTTTATATGAAGATATATATATTTTTTTGTGTTACTTATTTATTTGATTTGGGGCTTGTTTTCAAATGTAAATTTAGTTTTGTTATTTACATTTACATTATATTTAAATTTTGTTATTTAGCAAACACTTTTATCCAAAGCGACTGAGGACAACAGAAGCAATCAAAACCAACAAAAGAGCAATAATTTACAAGTGCTATATTAGTATATTATTATAGCGTTAGTCTATATTTCAATTTCACAAAGAAACGTACAGTATTTTGTCCAAGCAATAATAAAAGGACACATTTAAGTTATAATTAAAAAAAAAAAGTGAATCGAATCGTGAAATCAAAATCGTGAATTCCAGAATTATTATTTTGTATTATTTTAGCATCTTAATTTTAACATTATTATTATTGTTGTTGCTGCTAAATACAAATATTTTTTAATTACACTATTTTATTGAAAATTGTATAGGATTAATTTTTTTACACTGAGCTCTTCACAATGCATTATGGGTAGGGATGTAACGATTAACCGCGAGCCGGTTGAAAATCGATTTAAATATGCGACGATTCAAATCGGTTGAGATGCTCAACAAATCGCGATTCAATTAGGTGTAGGAGTTTATATGAATGTATGTCTGAGGAGAACTTACTGTCTTTCGATTGTATTTTTTCTTTTTATCTTGCCTCTGTATAATGCACATTAAAGTTCATAAGTGCAGCGCTGCTTTGTTTACAGCGGAAACCAGGAAAAGCTTTAAGCGCCACCTGCTGGCAGAGAGTGAATCTGCGTCTCATTCAGCTCATCTGCTGTTTCTGTTTCATGCAGATATTTTTTCTGCATAGTTTCACAAAACTGAAGTCAGACCATTGTTTTTGCTTCAAATTTTGAAATTAAAAACTGCTCATGTTGCATGTATGCAGCATCTTTGTTTGGATCAAGATTAAAATGCAGTGGTTGCCTCTAATTTTACATGGAAAGTGCACAGACAAAGCCTTAGTTTGTTTATATGAAGATATATATATTTTTTGTGTTACTTATTTATTTGATTTGGGGCTTGTTTTCAAATGTAAATTTAGTTTTGTTATTTACATTTACATTATATTTAAATTTTGTTATTTAGCAAACACTTTTATCCAAAGCGACTGAGGACAACAGAAGCAATCAAAACCAACAAAAGAGCAATAATTTACAAGTGCTATATTAGTATATTATTATAGCGTTAGTCTATATTTCAATTTCACAAAGAAACGTACAGTATTTTGTCCAAGCAATAATAAAAGGACACATTTAAGTTATAATTAAAAAAAAAAAGTGAATCGAATCGTGAAATCAAAATCGTGAATCGAATCGTGAGTTGAGTGAATCGTTACATCCTTAATTATGGGAATGCTTTAATTGGTGCAATTGATTTCAATAGTTTGATGTTAGCATGTTGTTAATCTAATACCATAATAAGCATAAAAACACAACCAAATATTTTAGTAAATAAATCTGACTTATTTATTTATTGAATTTATTTTTTTACCTACTTACACTTTTTTTATGGATACTTTTTAATGTCTACTATATTGGATGTATTTTATAGCCTGAGCTCACCGCAATGCTTAATGGGAATGTGTGCTCACCATTTCCTAACCGTATATGATCAATAGTGATGCTTGCTTTAGCAAACGGCAATAATAATGTTGAATGTGGACATTTGGGAAAAGAGTAGTGAACTCACCGCTTCCACCAGGCCTTTTAGAGAGGGAGTTTTCAGCATGAGAGCATCAAACACTTCCTCTGCCTCCTTGCGCACATACAGCAAAACTGCAAAGGCAGAGAAATGTGGTCAGCTATGGTCACTCATGCACAAACTGCAAGCCCAGTTTTCTTGAAACTGAGGTCAGACTTGGAAACCAACATAAACTAGAAAGTAAAGTCCAAGTCGTCTGCCAAGGCTTTCATGTGGCAGAAGATTTGATATGCTCTTCTAATGCATGCCTTTAACTTGTGACTCACATGCTGTTCCCTGTAGTTGGGGTTGCTGCTGATATCTATAAACACCGGTGCCGTCCCCTCCTCCCCTTTCACCCAAAAACCCCAGAAGGACTGGGCAGCATCCCAAGCCATTACTGGGAACACTGAGCTACAGCAAGGGATGTTCAGTGATGTGGACAGTCCGGAGTACACAGATTACACACATTACATTCTATTCCAAAGCCGACGTGTTGCCTTTGGCAAGACGTTTGGTTAAATCCACACAAACACGCACCCTCCCACACATGGCTGATCGTGACTGCTATTCGATAGATAAACAAGCAGAGGATGGCCACAGAGAGACAAGGCATCGTGTTGGGAGGGCTAGCAGCCTTCGATTACCTGCAAATTTCCATTTTTTATATACTAAATCCCACCCATGTTTGGTTCTGCATCCTTTGTTAAAGGGGTCATATGATGTTGCTAAAAAGAACATTATTTTGTGTATCTGGTGTAATGAAATGTGTTTATGCGGTTTAAGGTAAAAAAAAACACATTCTTTTCCACATACTGTACATTACTGTTTCTCCTCTATGCCCCGCCTTTCTGAAACGCGTCGATTTTTACAAAGCTCATCGGTCTGAAAAGCAAGGTGTGCTGTGATTGGCCAGCTATCCAATGCGTTATGATTGGCCGAATACCTCAAGCGTGTGACAGAAATGTTACGCCCCTACCATACTGTGATGATGCCCTGTCAGGCCGGAGCGATGATTCAAAAACATGAAAACCCATTATAAAGGAGGCATTCGTTGCATCCAGTGGGGACATGGATTATAATGGCTTATACTGTCTTTTTACGCGTTGCATCGCGCCGCGTAAACATAAAACCATGTCTGCATTTGTGATCGGAGAAATTACAAACAACAAGCGCTACTCTACACTGCCCAAAAAACTCGCTTTAAATATAAAAACTCTTTAAACATAAAAAACGTACTTACAGTCCGGCATTGTAGTCTACTCTACCAGGATCAGGAAACGGTCCTCCATAAAATGTGCTGCACACATCTGAATATTTCGGTTGAAGTGTTCTGGAACAGTGTTGTAAATACAACTTAACTTAACTTTCTAGTCGTGTCCATTTTTGGAAGGTCAAACAAAGTAGTTTCGCTTTCACAACGAAACACAGAGTCACACACGGTGGCCTAGAGTGAGCGGCGGCGGCCTAGAGTGAGCAGAGGCCGGGGGCTAGAGTGAGGAACGGCCGGAGGGCTAGAGTGAGCACCGGCGGATTCGATGAAGGAGGCTTGCGGCAACCACATGTGACGACTCCGGGCTGGACTCTGCTTCATCTACGGTGAAAGCCGTTCCGGTGATCCACAGCGCAAAGTTGTTGTATTTCCTCAGCAACCAGCACGGATCAGCTCCAGGCATGACGAAGCAGATATCGTCCTCTTTTGGAAGACCAAACAATGTAGTTTCGCTTTCAAAACGAAACACACAGCGCCTTCACGACATGGCGGCGGCAACAACAATACTACAGCGAGAATAAAAGTTACCCCTTTTTTCTTTACGTGAACATTTGAGCGGCGTTATGCAAATCTTCCCACATAGTGACGTAGATATGTGGGGGCGTGTTAGAATGAGCCATTTTAGGTAGGCGTGGCTGACTCTTAACTTTTATAAAGCATATCTCTTTGGATTTGAGACTTTAGTCTTTGCAACTTCACAGATCTTCTGCATGCACCAAGAGCTTGTAACACTCCAAAGAGAAAGGAAAAATTTAAATCGCATCATATGACCCCTTTAAAGTGATCTAAGCAGCAGTGATTGCCACTGAAATGTTGAGGCATGCTATAGTTTATAATTAGGACCTATCCGTGTACAAACAATAACTCTGTTCCAAAACCTAGTCAGCTGAATCACTGCCTATTACCCACAAAGGCAACTGCCTTCTAAGGCAGCATCCTAACATCATGGGACCTCACAAGTGACCGATCTGGAACACTGTACAGAGTGACTCCACACATCACGTAAACAGTGCCCCACACACGCAATTAATTAAAAAACAAAAGTTGAGCAAATCCATGAGCATGAGTATTTCCTACGAGCCTGGGTTGGCATGAGCATGTTGCTAAGCTAATTAATATTACAATACACATAAAATTAATGACATGCTGTAGCACACACAAATACGGGGTGAAATAATCAAAATAAAGAACAAATAAAATAAAAAAAAATTATTATTATTATTATAAATAATAATAATAATAATCTCAATTTAAAACAATAATTTTTATATAAAAATAGATATTAGTGTTAAATCAAATGAAGTTATATATTATTATTTTAATTACATTATATATTATTATCGTTATTATCATTATTATATTTTTTACAATTATTCAAAATAATTTTAATTATATTATTTTATGGATACTCTTCAGTACTGCATGAAATGTAAATATAGGTGCATTCACGCCATGTCGGAATTATGAGATTCCAACTTGTAAAAAACATCCACATCCTCATAGAACTTGTAAACTTGCACAACTGATTTCAATAAAGTTTAATAACAGCATGTTGCTAAGCTAATTAACATTCTAAAAAATATAAAATAAATGACATAGCACACATACTGGGTAAAATAATAATTTAAAAAAACTATTTATATATAATTAATATGAATATAAATAAAACATATATATTTTTAAAATATTATTATTATTATTATATGTTAACAGTTATTTTCACAATTTGTTTGTTTACAATTGTTTACAATTTACAATTATTAAATATCTATTATTATTATTATATGTAGATTTAAATTTTATATTAAAATTAAAAATATGTTATACTATTTTATGAATTCTTTTCAGTACTGTTCACATCATGTCAGAATTACTGTAATTACGAGTTTCTGACTTGTAAAAAGCATTGAAGTCCTCATAGAACTTGTAATTGCAACTTGTAAACTCTGAATTTTCTGAGAGCTGTGACTTGCATCATGTGACTGCTGTACCCCCTGACTGTTGCAAATTCATTTTGGCATTGATAGTGTTGCCACAGAAACACATAATTCCTAGTTCGTGGACATGAACACCTCAGAGTAGAACATCACGAGTTGTCATCTCATAATTACGGTAATTACAGCATGACTTGAACGCAGCATATATTTAAAACCAACATTTCTCTCAGAAAGTCTGCCATCTTGATTTTTTATTTTTACTGGGCATACTGTAGTGCATCATGGGATTGTCTTTTCCATGAAGGATACATGTGATATTGCCTTAGAGTTAGTCAAAAACAACATCTTAGGAGATATCCTTCATAGGCAGCTCACTCGATTTTGGAACAGAGCAAATGTGTTTTGAATTAGGATGTTTTTTTGTGTGGTTACTCACAAGCAACCAAATGGCTTTGCACCATAACAGTGCCGATACTTACAGCGCCAACAATACTGAAATAAACACAAAAATACCCCAAAAATCTGTCTCATTCACAGCAGGGACAAAACAAATGACATATAACCCAGTTCCAGTTAAAACACACCTCTTTTGGGCTCATCCATCCTTGCCAGCTTATTGGGAGGTGATCCAAACTCCTCCTCGGAGTAAGGTAATCTCTTCATAGCTGAGCTGAACATTGAAAGAAGGAAGAGAGAGGAGACGATGAGAAAGATGCAGCAGATGAGTGTAGTTCTGAGAAAACCTCCATCCCTATTGAAAAAAAGGCACTAACAAGTACATCATTACCCATGACACAAAGAGCACCTGCACATTTCCTGGAAGCGCTGTACAGGGAGCAGGGCTTCAGGGCAGAGCTAATGGCCGTATTGCTCTAATAATGCACATTCGAAACCCTCCCCAGTCTTGAACAAACATTGCTGACATAAATGAGCACAAAGTAGGCAAAAGACAGAAACTCACCCCTCCTCTGAGTCCTCCGGAGAGAAAGGCTGCAATGAGAAAAGCCACAAAAGAAGCTAAATAACATTCATTAACAAATACCTTTAATATTTCAGAAAAAGGGGGTCATTTTTCAGGCCAAGAGCCCCATGCACTGTAAAAATGTTGCACTGAAAATTTTCAGTTGGTTCAAGTGCCAGTGTTAAAAGTCTTTCAGTTCATGATTTGGACCTCTCAAATCATTTACATTATATTAATAATATTAAGCAGCACAACTGTTCAACATTGATAATAATAATAAATATTTGTGAGCACCAAATCTGCATATTAGAATGATTTCTGAAGGATCATGTGACACTCAAGACTGGAGTAACGAATGCTACTGAAAATTCAGCTTTGCCATCACAGGAATACATTACATTTTAAAGTTTTCAATTGTAATAATATTTCAGGATATTTACGTACTTTGCCATGAAGCTCACATTTAAAAGTCATTAAAAACATTATATTTAAATTTTACTGGATGTATTTTATTGTTGGAGGAGAAATAAACATTCAGCTGAACTGCTTCATTTTGTTTGCTGCAAAAATCTGTTTAAGATGAAACAACAATTTCCAGATCCCCTGCAGGATGACCGCAGACCCCCTGTTGAAGACCCCTGGGTTAAACCATGAACACATGCTAACACGGTTAACCTACTTGGGATGATTAATTATGCGCTTGTAAATTGAGACCAACTTTTTTTTTTTTTTGCTCAAAGTCCTACATACTGCAGTGTAAACTCATCACAAAAGACCCCCAGAGTAAAATCTGACCATTCAGAACAATAGCAAGAACATTTGAATCAACACCGATGTATAAGCACATAAAAGCACATCTTTCCACAGCTCTGGACTCGCTTCGTTTGTGTGGCACTAGAAAGTATGGCAAAGTTCACTTTTCTTATTCTTTTTGCGTGTGATTTTAGTGAAAAGTAAATAGCCAGAGGGTTTATTTTTGGATCTAGATATACTCTGGGTTTCAATGTCACATAACTAACTGATGATCAAAGGTTATGTTAGACAGGACACTATCTAACATTTGCTCTCCTGTGTGTCATGTGATTTTAGTTGTATAGGTGACCAGGTTTTTGAGTCAAAGGTTTCTACCAAGAAACTGAACTGATTTAAAAAATAACTTCCAGGTCTAAGACATGTGAGTCAGTGATGGGTACCATTGATGTTTATGACCGGAATGGTATGCTGAACAAAGTTGGCGGGGTAAATTATGCATGTTTTGATTTGTTAAGAAACCACGCGTGGGCTTTAGATGTGATCCCTTGCCAAGAACCCTCTGATAACAGCCAATCCCATGCCATAAATGGCAGATTTCATAACCGTGAGAAATGACTGTATTCCTTCCAACTGACTGCATCATTCTGGTCACCGTGACCCAACGACAATCTGCTGTTTCCGTGACATGTTTCAGCAGTCTGCACTCACACAAGCAATAAAGAGCACTGAAATGATAATGTCAATATGCTTTTACCTACAGCCACTTATATGTAAATGATCATATGGAACATTTCTGCTAGGAGGCTTCATCACAGAGGCACTGGCACATAGATAATTAATACTTTTTGCCAGAGACCACAAATCATAATCTTAAACAGATTTTTTTTTAACACTCCCAAGAGCATTATATATGTTTAATAGGTTTTAATACATATACTTAATTACATATACTTGATACTTAATTACTTTTCTTAATTTAATGTAAATAAAAATAAAGTAAAATTCATTGAGCTTTGACTAAGTCAGACAAAACTATTAAAAAATATGAAAGGGAAAAATTAAAGTTTAATGTAGATATATATTATTATTTCATAAAAAAAAATTATAATATATTTTTTGAATTTATTTTATTTTAATGGGAAAAGGTGATAAACTGTTCAAACAAAAGTCAGGTTGCTCTATCTTTTTTCCCATTACCCCAATCTTGCACCAGCATTTTATGATTTCATTCATTTTTCTCAGACTGAACCATCTCTGGCAAAGCCTAACAGAAAAGATTCTGGATTGCTAATGCAAAAGCTGCAAGTTTAGTGCCATGCAGAAGTAACCCAGAAACTGGAGAGTTACTGAGCTCAAAATCAACCTAAACTATATGATTGTGCTCACATTCTGCAAAAATACATTATCGTATATTCTCGTATCTTCTCACCAGTGCTCACATGCAATGTGTCATAACACACACTGCATAATCTACATGTCTAGCGGCTGTATACTTGTAGAGCACAGTGCATTTGAGTTTCATAAAGCAGCAAATATCATAATCTTTTTAGATTTGTTTACGGGGCGGGTCTATAAAGCTGATATGCACTTATTGACCCCCAATTGTTTCAAAGAGGTCATTTGAAACTTACAAACTTTTACTGTATATCTGATATTTGTAATTATGAAATTAAAAAAAGTTGTGCACAAAGTGTACTCACATGACGCTGGAAGGTGGAGAAATGGATGTCGGGGATGAAAAGAACAGGCTGCGTCTCGAAGTCCATCATTGTCTTGAAGATGGTGATGTCGCTGCGCTTGTGCAGAAGGGGAACCTTGACATCTGGCCCAACTGGGAAAAATGGGGCAAGGACAGTGTGAAAAACACCTCTTACTGGAACTCTAGTCGCACATTTTTACTACGAAGCACCATCATGTCAGTTAAATCTACACGTCAAAGTAAAAACCTGAAGCTGTGCTTACAATTTCCCAAAGGAGTGTTGACTTCAGGGCATTTGCCCTTCCTACGGGACTGTTTCCTCTCCTCATCACGGATCTTGCGCTCTGCACCCTTGTCGCAGAAGACCTTAATCTGGCAGTAAGCGCGGTGGATAGGCTTATTGCTGCGGTTGTTGTAGCTGTAGGTGTCGATCTGTAGGTTGAGCGGTAGGCCCTTCACTCCCTTCTGAGAGGAGAAGTCTGTGCTCAGACAGTTCACTGAGATGAAGATCTAACGAGGGAAGAGAGGGAACAATTAAATGCCATGTGGCCATCATTTGTTACAAATTGATCCTTGGAAATAAAGAGTATTGTTATGCTCAGTTCAACTTAAATTATTTCAGTTGTGTAAAGTAAAAAAAGCTAAATTCACACTGAATATTCATTCTTACTAGTCCAAAAAAAAAAATGATATATGTTTTTTCTTCCAGAATTTTTTCAAAAAAATAAAAATAGTAAAATGTTAAAATGCAGTGAATTGAAATAACTACTTCTTTATTGCTTTTTTAGTCTTGAACTTCATTCACTGTGTGGGTAGCTTTGCTTGTTTTGAACTTATGAATACTGTTTTCTGTAAATGCACGAGGTGAATCTGGGAACACCAGACTGTGATGCCATTATCTGTGTTGTTTGTCGCCCCCTTTTGAAAATAGATTAGAATTACAGCACATATTGTTTTTAGACTTTGGGTTCATTTCCAGCACTCTGGAACTGCTGTTACATCATGGTCTATAAAACAAACTTAATATATTATATAATGAAATAATCTAATTAAAACTGTGAAATTTTAAATATTAGTTACTTATTACTGTTTCGTCTATATTAATGTTTCTGGAAATCCTCCATATGAAGTGTGCAACATGTTTATAGCTAATTTACACTGAAAAAAAAACAGTTATAGCCTAGTAGTGATACATTTTTTTCAGGATTCTTTGATGGATATAAAGTAGACATTTTCTTTGTTACAATGTGAAAGTCTTTACTGTAACTTTTGATCAATTTAATTTAATTTAATGCATCCTCACTGAACAAAAGTATTATTTTCTTTAAAAAAAAATCTTACTGACCCTAAACTTTTGAATGGTTGTGTATATGTACAACTCTTAAACAGCATCTGTTTATTCCTACCAAAGCAAAATTTACTTTATTCAATGACAATACAGCATCTTACATAATAATAGATTATTAACAAAAGGCCTGAGACTAAATAAGAATAAGAATTACAAACAAATGGTCTTTCAACTAATCAATCATCAAATATTTGCACAAGCATTCACTCAATGCTTGTCATTTCTCAAAAAGTCCGCTAGAGAGCGCAACAAATCCATTCCAACCGTCCTTTTCCAACGCTCTCAGGGTCTGTTTCGTCTATATTAATGTTTCTGGAAATACTCCATATGAAGTGTGCAACATGTTTATAGCTAATTTACACTGAAAAAAAACAGTTATAGCCTAGTAGTGATACATTTTTTTCAGGATTCTTTGATGGATATAAAGTAGACATTTTCTTTGTTACAATGTGAAAGTCTTTACTGTAACTTTTGATCAATTTAATTAAATTTAATGCATCCTCACTGAACAAAAGTATTATTTTCTTTAAAAAAAAATCTTACTGACCCTAAACTTTTGAATGGTTGTGTATATGTACAACTCTTAAACAGCATCTGTTTATTCCTACCAAAGCAAAATTTACTTTATTCAATGACAATACAGCATCTTACATAATAATAGATTATTAACAAAAGGCCTGAGACTAAATAAGAATAAGAATTACAAACAAATGGTCTTTCAACTAATCAATCATCAAATATTTGCACAAGCATTCACTCAATGCTTGTCATTTCTCAAAAAGTCCGCTAGAGAGCGCAACAAATCCATTCCAACCGTCCTTTTCCAACGCTCTCAGGGTCTTGCCCTTTCTCCCTCTCCACTTTCTGTTTTTTCTCTGTCTTTCCCAAGCACACAGAATCCAAACCACTCCCACATGTAACACTGCAAACAGTCGGCACACAGGAGACTGTGCACACGGATGAGTATCCTACAGCGCCGGGCTTATCTTATGATCTGCATCCTGGTTATAGGACAACACTGCTCACTGCAAAAAATACCCTATTTCAATTTTTAAACTTTGGATTATTTACTTTAATGTGACTAATTAGAACTATAATTACATGGATACACAACAAGGACTATTTCTCAGACAGATCTGCTTCAGATCTGTTCAGAAAACAACATGAAAATCAAAATTAATCAGAATGAGGCAGAGGACTTTAACCAAAATTTGTTTGTCACTTTGCGACGGGTTTAACCCGACTAGTCTCGACATACTCGTCAAACAGGATTCCATTAGCTGTCAGTGCTCACTGCTCCCCCATCAGAGTTTCCTCATTCTTGATGCCATTGTTGGGCGCGTCTCCCCATAAACCCATCAGTTCAGCACGAAAATAAATAGGGCTGTCAGGCCTAACGATCTGAGAACTAATCATTTCAGCATTCACATACACCTAATCTCACTGAAACAACAAATATCTACATCAGCCCAGCATCTTCGGCTTTAAAAAAAATGAAGTCAAGGTATTGGCCAATGTTAGAAAACACCAATGCCCAGCTCAAGTAACTAAACAAATCTCGGAAAGCCCCTTCTTCACACTTTCTTAGGATATTTCTTAATGTTTCTCGGGATACAGCACACTTTGTTTTTGTTGCCTTTTTTATGTACTCTAAAAGTTATGCATATGGTCTATTGTATTTTGAGTGTAAATCTTCATGTTAGTCATACTTTTCCTAAAAGGTCATGTCTATTTTAAGATCCTTTATCTGCATACCAAAAATACATACCACATGGAAACTAATTTAAAAAAGATGTTTGCTTTTATTCACCTTTACACTCTAAAGCTTTTCAACAGAAAGTCACTTTTTTTAACAGATGTCAAGAGGCAAATCAAATTAAAAGAGCAATAATGTTGTTTATTAATTACACGTTTTCACTATGCAAACATTAGAAATGCCCTAAAATGTCTTTACCTTTGCTTCCTCGCTGATGTCCCATGTGAATGAAATGGCATTATATGAAATCTCCTCAATATTGCTGATGGTGTTGAAACTTTCTTTGTAGTCCGCTGTGGGAGACAAGAGAGGCTTGATTAATGAGTCTAGACAGACAAGTGGATGATTTACATTTTGTAAGAGAATGGATAAATGGGGAATGGAATATTTTGGTTGTATCATAAGTTGAAATCAATAACACAGGCAGAAGTGACTATCATAGACTATAACTAAATGTTAATGGACTTTTTAGATCAAATCAAGACAGTTAAACATAACTAGTTAATCAAGGCTTGTTACATATGTTGTACTTTACGGTAACACTTTACTTGAAGGGGTGTGCATAAGACTGACATGACACCTTCATAATCATGACATGACACCTACATAATCAAGACATGACACATGTCATGAATATGAAGGTTTTTTATGCATGTTTATGACAACTGTCATTAAGTGTCATTCACTCAGTTATGTCATTTTTAATGCAAATATGACATTATTTGACCTTACCCTAACCTAACCCTACCCCAAAAATTACATAACTGAGCGGCCCATAACAAATACATCTCAAACAATGTCATCTTTGCATTAAAAATTACATAACTGAGCGAATGACACTTAATGACAGTTGTCATAAACATGCATAAAAAACCTTCATATTCATGACATGTGTCATGTCTTGATTATGTAGGTGTCATGTCATGATTATGAAGGTGTCATGTCAGTCTTATGCACACCCCTTCAAGTAAAGTGTAACCTACTTTACTAATATAATATTATGACATTAAAGGGATAGTCCACCCAAAAATAAAAATGTATGTTATCATTTACTCAGTTGATGGTAGCCATTGACTTCCTCAGTATTTTCCATACTATGGAAGTGAATGGCTACAGTCAACTCTTTAGTTATCAACATTCTTCAAAATATCTTATTTTATGTAAGAAACTCTTACAGGTTTGGAACAACATTAAGGGTGAGTATATGTTGACAGAATTTTCATTTTTTGGGGTGAACTATCCCTTTAAGTCATAAAGGGTATTTTCCCTCAGAAGTTGACATTCATTGAAAGCAAGATAATGTTGTGTACCCTTTCATGTTTTACAGTGCTCATCTTTTATTTGTTGTGTTCACTGTGGAGGTCATTTATGGATCTCCCCTTGACCTATTGTCTTGTCCCCTCCTGCAGCCCCCCGCATCCACTTTGTCTGTATGCCTGTTTGCTATCTGTATGCATTACTCCACCCTGAACTACACTGGACCCAGATAATCAAAGAGACATGAAAGTATGAGTGAGATCAGTGAGTGTACTGATACCCCTAGACAAAGACTTCTCACCAATATCAATGCATCTCTGCTTGGCCGTGTGCTGTCTTGAGTGCCAGTATTTCCAGTGCTTGAGTTGGTCATCTCTGGATTTCTCTTCTCCGAACACTACCATCACAACACTCTGAAAAACAACATAGTGTTTGTTACTGTTTTCTATTAATGTACACACACTCTCAAACAAGTACTCGTACGTTCAGTGGTACAGGAAGTATTTACACACTTACATACTAATTTCACTGGACAGTATCTGGACACTTACAGTAAGCTACACACAAAGATGTATGAATGTCATTACATTAGATAAGAAATTATCAAATGGCATCCGCTAACAAATGATACTAGAAAATGTAATTTCATTTTTGAAATTACTTTTAACCAACTGGCAAAAAGCAATTATTAGTGGATGTGGAAGTTAACAATGGACCTGTTCCATGTTCCACATTTGGAACATGGAATATATATATTTACATTTAGTAGACACTTTTATCCAAAGTGACTTACACATGAGGACAATGGAAGCAATCAGAATCAACAAAAGAGCAATTGCTATGACAAGTCTCAGGTAGCCTAGCAAGTTTTTTTTTGTTAATTATATAATAGATAAAAAGAAGACAGATAGATAGAATAGAATAGAAAAAGAATAGAGAAAGCTAGTGTTAGAGGTCTTTTTTATATAGAAAACAAGCAGTTAGCAAACAAATAGAGTGTATGTCTTAAAGGGTTTTAATAAAAAAAGAAAACAACTAGGTAAAATAGAATTAGAATAGAGAGTGCTAGAGGGTCAAATAAAATAAATAAATAAATATAATAATTTTTTTCAATATACTCTTCTTACCCTGACTTTACAGATGGGGCCATGCAGCAGTTTGCCATTGTCGGTTTCCCTGAGGGTGATGGGATAGAACTGTCCCTTGTTGAGGTATGTCATTGTGCCATCACCAGATTTCTGTCTGAGAGACTTGGAGGCATCTAATGTGTATTCAAAATTATTACTGTTGACCAAACACAAAAAAGGGGTCACAACTTAATACATATTTGCACCATCAGACCAAATACACCCATGACAATTTCCATGTTTGCTATTACACAGAAGAGGCAGCTTGTTATATTTGTTGTAGGCTGACATTCATTTACACATGGACCTTGAGCACCTGTCAGGAGGATGCACCAGTGACCTATTCATGCTATTTGCATACACTCAGCTGATCTCTTAAATGGAATGAAGTTTTTTCTGAGGTTATGTTTGACATACCCTGACACTGTGTCAAAAGTGGCGTAGTCCTCTTGCGGGATGGGACCCATGCCTAAATGGAGATCCCTTGGGAACGCAAACACCTGTAGCGCACAAAAGAGGGGCAAGAGGGCCTGGCATTAGTGCAAACACCACATCACCACTCATTCAGTCAGTGGGCGAAAGCTGATTGCTAAAGCAAAAGAAAAAAACAAACGGCTCTCCCTGTGTGTGCAAGGTTTTTGTGGAACTATCATTTCTAAGGAAATCCTCCCTCCAGGTTTAAAAAAAAAAAAAAAAAGCAGGTAGACAGAGGGAGCGGGAATGAGAGCGGGCAAAAGAGAGAGAGAAAAGGCCCTGGCTATTATGTGAGAGGAAAATACAGCACTTTATTGTGTAAGAGAGACAATGGCATAATGACATGCTAGCTGCTATTTTGGCATGTTCAAATAAAAATAGGGAGGGGGCTCAATACAACAATGTCTTTAGAGTCACCAGGTAAATGAAGTATTGTCTGAGGGTGGGAGACAGGAGATATGTGCGTGTGTGTGTGTGTGTGTGAGAACTCACATCTGGGTTCTCTGGGAAGGTCGAGTCTGGGGTGCGTGGCTGAGTGTTTGGACTGAACTGGTTGTGGGGGAGCTGAGGGTCGAATACCACCGTGTGATTGTCTGGTTCTGAGCAGTGTCGATTGGGGACTGTGACGGAGAATCCATGTGATGGACCCTCAGTCTTCACTGGGTAGTTTGGCCCAGGCGCAATGGATACTGTCACCGTAGTATCGGGTGAGGGGAAAAGGCCTCTCTTGTCCTGGGTGTGCTGGTTCCCTGGAAGAACGATATTTACTCCTTTCAGAACCTGGATTCGGTTCTCTGGCGATGGCTCTTGGAGAGTGGTCATCAAGTTTCTGTTGGAAAATGTAAATGAAAATGTAAAAAACAAAATATACAATATAAAATGTTTTAAAAATATTTTTCATTACTAACAAACAACTGATAAATGTAGAAGGTGCACATTTAACTGCAACAAACATTGTTCTTCTTCACAAAAAAATGTGCAAAATGCACGGATGTCTAAACCTAATATCAAAGATGAACCTAGTCACACTGACAAAAAATAAATATAATCAATACGTTATATTTTAAAAATGAAACTACTAAATGTTAAAAGGTAAACACATCAAGCGTCACCTTCTACAGATATTGGTTTACAAATTACTTGCTTTATATGTAGAATTTTGTAACCTAAATGGAACGTATAGTAATAAATGTTTTGTGATTAAAAATGGATTACAGCCTCCCTTCCTTTGCTGTTGTGTGCCGCTACTGGTTGACGCGCATGCGCAGCCCTACGCGTAAGCATAATCTTTTACCAATAGCTTGCTTGATTTTTATTTTTATTTTTTTTGCGAAATGTGAATAGTTGCTTGGCTTTAAACAAGAATAAAATACAAAGTACAGATACAATTTTATCTGCGCTGGGGGAAACCCCCCTTAAATGCATTAAACAACAAAAGCACGCTCAGACGGCAACATGAAGTTCTACGCGCATGATGAAGCATTTAATATAAAGTGCTCTCATGCTTCGAACAGTTTAGTACTTTTTTACATTGATGTCAATGACGTAGTTTCAGCGTGCTCAGCGTACAGACCCAACAAATCGTTGCTGACAGTTTTCTTTATTAATTTTTGTTGATTAGTAAGCTAATTGCAGCCCTAGCAAAAAATACCATGAAGTAGGGTCTCATCTTCTCAGTATGGGAAAAACGGCATTCACTATTGCATCTTTGATGAGAGCTTCACCTTTTGTTGGGATCCACATCAGAGCCCAGGACGTCAGCCTTTGGCTGGGATATTGTTCTCTTTTCCCGCGGCACCTGGGCAAAGTAAACAAACTCTATGTAAGTCTGACCACATCCAATAGCATCAGCTTTACCCATTATATCGGTCAATGAACATATTTAGCATACTAGGTGACATTTGATGAAGCAACAGGATGTCAGATATCATTAAATTAATACTTGGTTATTTTGATCGCAAATTATTATCAAAAGCATTAAATAAGGTTTTGTTATTGTTGTGTAAAGTTCCTCCTTTCATCCCCTTTAACAGAATTATATGATGTTTCCATTTGTCTGTTTTAAGATATAACTTATTACATATTTAATGTTTTTTAACTTAAATGTATATATTAACTATATATATAAATATATATTTAATATTCATTTCATTTTATATTTTTATTGTGTTTGGTGTATTATTGCTATAGCAGTATTTTGGGTTTGCGAAAAAGTGCATTACAAATTATTATTATTATTATTATTGATGTTAATCTCTACAAGTCTTACCTTGTAGTATTCGTATAGAAAACCCAGAGCTGCAGCACTGTCTTCATCTCCATTGATGCTCATCATTGCCTTGGTGGCGGCTGTGAGGGGGTTCTCCAGGAACGACTTCCAGGCCTCATCCTCACTTGTGTAAGGCCGCCGCTGGTTGTAAGCCGGATCATTCTGTAGCACGAGCACTGCCCGCTTACTGTGCGGAACAGTTCAGAAAGAGTCGTCAGTACTAGAACAACAGCTAAATGAATCGTCAGGCAGAGGTAGACGGGCTGTGTGATTTGTAAACACAAAGAGTCAAAAGGAACAAAATGATGGATGTTGAGCAATCTGAAGATGTTTTGGCATTATTGCTGGTGTCAAAGTTGTCAAAAGAGCTGGCTGTTGTGAAAGGCCTTCTTTATCTCAGGATCTGTGACAAAACCGGCCCAAACAACAAATCTCAGCCCAGACCGCAGCTTCCCGTTTGACAGCATGTTTCACTGGCTCTTCCAGTAAGATGGCCAGTAAAGTGTCTGAAGGAGATCTAGTGACTTTTCACAGACTGTGACAAAGTTCATTAAGAAAACCGGTTATGGCCTCTCTGTGCATTTTCTTCATGGTTATGTAATTCTTGAGTACCATCATCTATTATTTAGACAAAGGTGGCTTACAGAGATTGAATATACTCTCATTCAGTGCTCATTAAATGTATTTATGTGTTGAAATATCTGACAATGAAATAAGGACAAAGTAGAGTTTATTTTTCAACTTTAAACCTTTTAACTTGGGTGGGAAAAACAGGACGAGGTTAAGTCAGGTAGGGGAAAAAATCTAGTGTAATTAAAAAAAATTAAAAAGATGATCAAGTTTTAAAGTGTAAACTTAGAACATGCCTTTTCGAATTTATTCACGATAGTCTTCATCCTGATGATGGTTAGTCTCTTTAGTCTCTTGTCACCCAACACTCTAGCCTTTAATAATGGAATGAATCCATAAAGAGTTGCTATGACAAAACTTTGCATCCAGGTTGGTTAACGTAAACGGATTACGAGTAATTTGATAACTAATTGTGCCATTCTTTCTCCCTGTTTGATTTTAGCTTTGCAACCTGATAGATCCGTTATCCTGGGACAATAAAACCTTGTGGACACGCAATCCCACTTCTAAAACAAAAGAGGCGACCAAGCGCAAAATTACTAATGATGCGTTTGTGGCCACATCCGTCAAACTCCAAACACTAGCACAGGAGAGTTTTAGTTTTCTCTTCAGGATTCACAGACACAAGGTCTCACGTTGCTTACGCTATGGTGATGGTCGTCAACAAAGTTCTGTTTGCATGGTGGAAAGCTCACCAACGGGCAAATATTTTGGGTGTATACTTTGGTTCTTGATGTTCTTAAGTACAGGCGAACCAATTCTGAGAAGAAAACAAAACCCACACTTTTCCAAAAAGGTCGTAGCAGATTCAGTTTAGATTTGCGTGTTTTAAACAATGTACAAAAGGCTTAAACACTGTTCTTCAGAAGGAATTGCCAACACCTAGAAAGCAGGTGTGCTGTTACAATCAACTCTTCTTTCAAAACAATAACAACATTTAACTTGATCAAATAATCATACACTTACGGCAATTACACAATGTTTTACTATCTAAAAACCTTTAGCCAGTATGTTTCGCCAATTATTACCTTTCCAAAACACAGATGTTGTTTCCAGCTGTACCTACAAGAAGCCTTTACTTATTGAGCCTTTAGGCTCAAATGTGATTTCACTCCAAACGAGGAAAATGTGCACACAAAAAATACAAACGAACAAACCAAATAACACGCAAGTCTGACAAATCAAGCGCAGCGCTCGTAACTCCCGCAGCAGGTGCAGATACACCTGTGACCGAAGCAGGTCTGAACATGACAGGTGAACTGAAGAGCCCAGACAGCACAACTGTGTAGCGGAATCGGCTCTCGGCTGTCAGTCCGACTCCTCGTGGTAAGACACAATTTCCAGAATTACTGAGACAAGTCAGACAGAAGAAGCTAATCTGTGTCAGTTCCAGCAAATGAACCAAGATTAAGCAGTAAATAGTACTCTTTTTTTACTTCACATTTTCTGTTGATCATCTCTCGGTAGACTACGGACCTACAGTGGTGAACTTACTTGTCATGCTCCTGTGACATCTCTTATGGTCGAACTGGACTTTCTAGTTGGTACTGTAAATCCGATCCTTCTTCTTGTATGGAGCAACGTTTTCAGGATGGGATGAGGGCTGTGTTAGAATTGCCTGTATGAGAACGGGTTTTGTTGGCTTTTCTCGCTTTTTTGGATATACTGAGAAATTGGGGCCGGTTTTACCTGTGACGGGGCACTGGATTGGATTACACCTGAGAGGAGGAGCTTAATATTCAACAATGCTCATTGCTTATGGTCTGTGCGTGTTTAACTTAACAAAAACCCAATGAAATTAATGGTACAGTGTAGTAGTGATTTTTTATTTTAGCACTACATGACAGCAAATTCTTAGTATGTTTTTGTTTCTGAATAACCTTTAAATTGTTCAGAGCTACATTTTACTGTAATTTAGACAGTATTTTAATTTTTGCAAACATGACTAATTCAGATTTACCATAAAGGATACTCCTTTAAATTTAATACAATTGAATATTACTTTTGTAAGTCGTTTAAAGGCTTCTGTATAATGACAACATTTACATTAAAAATGATATTCAGTGTTACAGAAATTAACGTTTAAACTGTTGCTTTGTCTTACTGCATGCTTAAGACGGCCTGAGGTTGATACAAATTTAAAAAATTGTACTAAAATGTAGAAATTACAATTTTAACTTCAAATTATATATATAGGCCTATACTGTTATCACCAGAGACTAAGGGACACATTTGAACAGTGAAATGTGTTATTTTGCTGTAAATTAGTTTTCACTTTGTACATTTTCTCGGCAGCATTTCTATTCACATGTATTCATGTGTCTTTAGTTTCTTGTGATTTGTATGCATAACAATATTAGGTGTTGCCAATACAACATTAAGTACCCTGCGTTCTTTTAGCATAGTAGGATAGGCCCGATTCAAACTGCTGTGAACACCCACACCAACCCAAAACGGAAGATTAGAGTTCCTTAACTGACAAAATGGGGTTAATGCAAGTATATTTAATAAAACTGATTAATCACTTCATAAATCATAATACTATATAACTATAACATAATAATGTTGCATGCTAATTATGTAAATGTTCAAGAAAAAGATACTGATTTTAACCCAAATGTTGTCTTACAAAATTACACATGCTAAGCAAATGTGAACAGTCTTTTGAATAATCTGTTTGTTTATGAGCAAAACACTGATTTGTGTTTATTTACATATCATGTTAATAGTCTACAAGTAGTCTAAAGCCAAAATGAGATGTTTATCTTGCTTGCAGTTCCCAAATTCCAAATAATTTACATTTTTTTAATATGCAAATCACCCAATTTGATGAAACCCATTTCCCCCTCAGTTTCTGTGACATTCTTTTACTGAAAAAGGTAATTAATATCTATGTGTAAGCATAAAAAGCCGTCCTCACTACTGGATAAGTACGTTTATACAGTTAAGCAGAGATAATACCTAAAAAGATACAGAGATGAGAAAATAAACATCATCTCTTCTTAGTGAGAGAGGGCTTTAGAGATGCTATCATTCAGTTTTCAGCTTATACTTCCCACTCCATACACACACTTTTCCTCGGAGTCCTGCTACAATGTTTATTTACCCTAATGCCCAGAATCTTGGTTGAGTAGGCACACTGTTTATATTTGCTGTCATGGCTTTGAATGGGTGCTGACAGCAGGAACGTATTAGAGACCGTATGCAAGTGGAATGGTAGTTGATGGTTGATGGCAACTGGCAAAGCTTAATTTAGTTATTGCTACTTGTTTATTTTGGTTTAAAACATGTTTGAAACAGGGTTTTAGGACTCTAGAAGTTGCTTTTAATGATATATTATATATATTTTATCATTAAAAGCAACTTCTAGAGTCCTAAAACCCTGTTTGAACTCAAGAACGGGACGTGATTGTACACATGGAACTAACTTAATAAGGATTTATTCTCTTGCTCATAGCAAAACAACCGAACCAACACCCATTGAAAAACACCCTACAAAACTATGCATTCAAAGAAAATCCTTAAAAGCCTGAAGCAAATTATAATCAACCAGATAAAAAAAAAATCCCACAATAATTTTTTTTATCTGTTGTTTCAGATCTGCAAATTTGCAGCATTTATTTAGCTTTATAATAGTACTGAACAGCTGTCATTTGTCATATATTTCTTTTTTAAACGTGTGTAACTTGAACTAGATGAATACTGTAGAATATGGAAGAAACTATTATATAGAAAACATCAACAAAGAAGTACAGTAACAGCAGACTGCGAGTCATAAGAGATTTGCATGGATGACAAACAGATGGTGTAGACTTTACAAGCTCATGCATCCCGCTAGATTTTTAGTCACAAGTGTAAATGAAGATACAGGTCAAATAGAATCTCAGAGCAGTAGGCTGTAAATGGGTTCACGGTTTTAAAAAAATATATAGACTGTAAAAGCGATTTTTTTTAAATTGTATTTAAAACTTTTTACATTTAAATAAAACATGTTTTACAAGAAAATACTATTTTAGTCTTTCTACTTCAAAATTTTGTGTTTAATCCAATGTGTTACTTGCCTATTCTTTGTGATTATTTGTAAAACTTACTAGCAATTTTTGAGTAAAAATTTTTTCTACACAATTTTTTTTAGCATAGGATTAAACAAAATATTTACATAAACATATAATACCTATATATTATATTTACAGTGTGCACTGTACCACTGTTAACACTTAAATTATACTGATTAACATATTCCTTAGAAGGACGAATGGCTGGATTTGCTTGAGTCTATTTGCAGTTCCCTCAGGATGTGCTGTGTGATTCCTCTCTGTTTGTGTTCGCTCTCCTCGCTCCTGCTCTTGATCAGTTATTTGCCAGCTCCAGTCATAAGTCTGAGTGCAGAGCACCAGGATGTGAGGGTAATAAGATGCAAATACAGACCACCTTTTAGGCTTGCCAGGACTCATCCTGACTGCGTGTATCTTATAGAGTCTAGCGTTTCTCAGTGTTCAGCCAGGTACCGATAAAGTCGTACTGATAGACTTTACATCCAAGCCACATCCTATTTGCTCTCAGTAACGGCTGCTCACCTCTTCACTGCCATTTGACCAGTTACTGCCTCGAGACAAAAGCGGGATGTTAAGCAAATATGATAGAAATACTGAAGGATCTCCATGATGTGCTGAAATTGACATGCCCAAATGACTAACTGCTTTTTGCGTTTTCCCAATAAACAGAGCAGCGGTGAAGGTTGCTGGGATAAGCTCTGGTGTTTTGGATAAACTATTAGGAAGATGTTATCAAGCTGTCTTGTGTGCTTACAGTGCAAACACAGGGTAGCGTGGGCCCGTATGCTGAACCCTCCTCTATCCCTGTCCTTTCATGTCTGATATATCCTTGAGGTCAGCAGAAAGGTTTTATGGGACATGAACGGACTGGTTGATTTAGGTTTGTGGATTATCAAATTGCTTGGGAAGTTAGGCTAAAGAGCATATTGTTAACCTCACATCAACTGACATCAATCACTTAATTTTTCTTAGTAACTGTAGGCAGATCAATAATAAATAAGAGCATTTAGGAATAATTTAAAACATGTGCCAAGTTTTGTATTCAAGTTGGTTTCATTTGTTTTCGAAAAACTTTTATACCATTTTTAAAGCCTTAATTTAACGACTTTAAAATGTCATGTGGTGTAACCATTATTTTAATCATTAATTTTTATAACCAGTGTTTATACCCTGAATACATGTGAGTGTACACATCTTAATCATTGTTATTTTCAATTTAATTAATTGATTTATTTAATGCAAATATTATGAATTATTACCAAGATTTATTAATATTACAATGTTTGAGGCATTTCTGAATTTTTGAAAACTATAATACCTTTTTCAAGAAAAAAAAAACATTTAGTATATGCTGAATACATAATCATCATTATTAGTTTTAAAAATAAATATATGTTCATGTTTTTTAATTATTATTATTTTATTATTAACAATATTGATAAATATTACAATTTTTGAGGTTGCACCACATGACATTTTACAACCTTGTCTTGTAAAAAGGTCAAATGATCTGATATTTTAAGAAATTGATCTTGACACTGCAGTGGTCCTCTCTGTGATGTCATTTCCTGTTTTATGTTTTCTCTGCATGTTTCTGGAGTTTTTTTACTTTGCTGGTTGCACCACATGACTTTTGCAGACAATTCTAATATATTCATTAAGACATCAGGACAGTTTGGCATTTATTAAATTATGCTCCCAAAATATATCATAATTCATTTTAATACAGAAACTAAAAACATGCTTGTCATAGAATTCATTGTATTTGTGATTTGTGTTTTTGAATGAATGAATAGTTTATGTCATTGACCAGTTGTTACAGCTGGGCTTTCTGTCTGGTCACATTACACAAATGTATTTGGCCAAAATGAAGCATTTCAAAATCCAAATAATGACCAACATCATTTCCATAGGCATTTCGTGTCAGAGCAAGCTGCCAGTTAATGTTGACTCATGATATATCCAAGGTTTTGCCCAGTGGGTTGGGTGAAAGAGTTCATTTGTACAACAATAGATGGTGGGATGTGTTGTGTTGTGAAGATGTTGCAAGACATCTGATTGGCTTGAGCTTGCAACTGTCAAGACTAAAAAGCTGACCCTTTTCCCACAGCAGTTTCACTCACTTATCATTTTCGTTCTTTTTCTCAAGCGGTTGAAGCACGCAGGTTCAAACATGTTTGAAGCGCAGAGCAATGCTTCAGCACGCCCATCCAAAAAAATATGACAGGTACATTTGATAAGCAGATACTTGCAACCTCACAAAATAATTCTCAGAAGGTTGTAATCTGCATGACACTGTCCTCAGAGAAAATAATGATACAGTATTGTTTAAAGCAGGTCCCCTTTTTTTACCGAGGTAATTGCTGAGTCACAAA